GTATATTTACATATATATAATTATTCACACGTTCACATAAAGCATGTCTGCGTATGTATTTATATTTGTGTTTAGAACTGTAAACCGTGCTAAAGAGTCCTGTGAATATAAGCGTATGGGCCTGTAAATAGATCTCTCATTTTGACTTGTACATTACAGACTGTGTATGCGATAGCCATCAAATAGCATAGCGGGCGGTGTCGGTATCGACTACTGTGTGTCCAGATGTACGAGGATATCCTGGCTTTTCACAATAAACTCTCCAATGAAGTGAAGCGCATAGTCGGCTGTATATAAGTGGAAGTAATTTTCGATGTATGCTAGAGGAATCAGATTCCTCCTGTGATCCGCTGAGTGATTTCATGACATAACATCTAATCCATGTTGTAGCAGATGACAAGCCAGACCCATATTGTTGTTCTGATACAACCAACAATGAAGCCAACACGCACTACATACCCCTCCAGCACTAGACTTGGTCTGCCTTGGTGCGGGTCCCGGAGATGTTTTAACACCTCTAATAAAGCTCCGTAAGTTGATACCGGAAGCTTGTGTCCCTGAGTTTACCCCGTACTAAGCGTCACTGGAATAGGACGCGATCTCAGGTTTGAATTTCCCCTTTATGGCTTTATATATGTCGGCACCCATCTAGTGCGTGAATAGGTTTTTTTTTTGGCGAAGTGACGCTCATATTATGAACGAGAAGCTCCGACAGATTTCTACATCTCACAGATGTGTGCCTTTTCGGGGATTGAGGTCTCCTGATGCCATGTTTTCGAACATATCACACGACAAACGCTTGAACACTCAACATACTCGAAGACTACTGTGCGCTTCCAATTTTGCCCAGATCGCAGCACATCTACGACTCGACCAAAAAGCCATAGCCCTTCTAAGTATTGTTCGCCGGATGAGCGTTCGAAAATGATTTGTGAATAAACGGTATCAACAGATGGAGCGACCGAATTATTTGGTGTTCCTAGAACGGGCATGTTCATAAAATCTTTAAGGGCGATGATACGATAAGGAAGTGCCGACCGGTTGTTAGCTCCGTCCGCATCACACATACACTAGATTGGTCATTTACTTCCACCTGTTTTATTGATATATTGTTGTTGAAGTTTAAGATCATACTTTCGTGGGCACGGATGATTCAATTCGGGTTGTTCTTGGAGACTTCATTTACTTCCAATCTTGTGATGCCCCTATATTGTTGCTTGGAGTTTTAAATTATTTTCGGTTTGTTCTCGCGAGACAATTGTTAAAGTTTTTATTTTTGGAAATGACTAATAACGAATTCCTTATTTTCGTACACCTTTTTCCTTATTTGATTAGGTATTATCATAAGCTCTGAAATGGTTGTAGCTGGTGTGGCTTTGACTTCACTTATGATGTATATCTAGATGTGTTTAAGGGTAGGGGTAGGGGTGAGAATTATATTGCCCACAATGAAAATGTTTTCTACCAGGAGATGTGTCTATTCATGATTCTCTCG